CTTCTTGAATGGAAACAGATGGCAGATGATCGTGGAAGAGTTTTTCTTTCTCTGCTGATGCGATCAAAGTGAGAGGAAGTTCCTCATGAGAGCCTGGCGATCCTCCCTGCTCTCCCAGACGCATGAATGCAGGTGGAAAAGAGCGAGAGCATCTTCGGATTTCGCGACATCAAGGTCCCTCTCTAGGATCGGGGCTTATATCTGTGCTGAGTCAGACTCACGAGTGAATCGCAGTTGCTCTCGAGATCTGAAGTCAGTGGATTCGAATGGAGTTTCGAGTTCTCTTGATTCCCCGCTGCAGTGTCTCCTCCTTGGGGCGATCCGCTCTGGCTCGCTAATGAGAAGGTGAAGCTCCGGAAGAACCCCCGGACTCTTGCGATCCCTAGCCACGGGTCAGGTAGACAGTGATATATCGGGCCGATCGCCGTCGCAGCGGAGTCTCTCTCAGCGGAAAACAGAATATCATTCCACCGATCTAGATAGTGTAGAGAAGTCGAGGAGGGTTGAGATTCTGTTGGAACACCCTCCGCACTCGGCGCCAGACATCCTGGGGTTGAATCCTGCCGTGCGATCGGATTCGAGGCTTGAAAAAAGGTAAATCAAGTAGAATGAGGGGTTATGCCCAGATACTCGGGATGATTTCGTCAGCGTGATCGTGCGCCTGGCTTCCACGAAATACCACGGTGCTTTCCAGTACGCGCGGGGAGCCTAATTGAGCTCAGATCGGATTTCCCAGCGGGCGGAGTAGATCGGAACATAGTAAAAAGCCTGGAGTGCGGATCAAATAGTTTCAAACGTCGAGCAGATTCTCTGTTCTAATAATAAGAGGTTCCGGAGTTCGGCTGCTGCTCTAAAAGAAATGATCGCATCGGAGTGATCCGATCTTCTGCTTCTCCAATCCTTCCCGAATAGATACAGATTGGACTGAACCGAGGATCCGGTTTCGTCCAGTGTAAGATTTCCGTCTCGATTCCTCTGTTCGGAAGCAACAGCCGCGCGGGAACGTCTCTGTTCTCAGTCGACGGGTTTTTAGAGAATCCAAACGTAACGAGAAAACGTGTTGTCCGACTGAGCTTCGAGACCCGCGTCCCGTTTCCAGCGACAAGAAAGAAATGAAATACTCGGATAGAATGGTTTGATCCTACATTTTGAGGCGGATTGAATTACGGCGCCGCTCGCGGTGTCTCTCAGTCTGGCACCTGACTATCGAGCATTTTGCGTTCGTCAAACTTCTGCGTTCCGAATCGCGTGAGTGAATGAGCACAATCAATGCAAATGCGCGGCCGGTAGTCGATACTATGCCGGGATCGATATTTGAACTTTTCCATTAAATGACGCCGAAGACAGGCTGCGGCTCAGTGCGAGGCATGAGCATCAGAGTCCTCGATCGACCCGAGAATTTCCCCCGACTCGTCTCTTGTGCCTCGTGCTTTTTCTCATACACGGTCAGGTGAACGACAGGTGTTCGCCGATCTCTGTTGTTATCCTTGCGTTTTGACGTCGACGGGACAAACAAAAGACCGGGTGGCTCCTCTCGGCCCCACTCTGGCTAACATACGTCGGCGTGCCGTGAGTTTATGACCTGCATCAGAGAAAAATGTCGGCAGATTTTTATACGGTAAGCAGTCCACTCGTCCACCCGACCGTCTGTGTGCTGGCTCGTACCCGAGTGTTTTCAAGCCGGTCTCGTACACACGATCCAGAGGTTCGGAGGAGCACGTCCACGGTTCACGGTGCCGAGACGTTGGAGAGAAACAATATTTCCCCTCCCGAAACGAGACGTTGTTCGTTGAGCGAAATCGGATCGCTTGAAAGCTTCTGGCCGAGCTCATTCCCCTTGAGCCGAGCTCCCGTGTTTCAGGCAGCCCCTTGGCGCGATATCTCGGACATGTGGGTATAGCAAGGAATCTCGTTCGTCAATGACCAGGTTCCTCGGAATCGATGAGTCGAGCGATTTGTATCCGCCGAGCACAACTTCAAACAGTTTGATCGATGAACGCAATGACTCGAAATTCGGCGCTGGCGGCCAGCGCGTCATGATTCATGATACAGTCTGAGCTCGCTCTCGGTCTGTGAGAGTGGGAAATGCCAAAAGTTGAGCTTGCATACAGAGGCAACAACTTCCGAATTCCTCAGATGTCATAGCCCGGGAGCAAATATGCGCTCATTATTGTGACTTCACGGCTGACTAAGTTGTCTCTTCGCGACCCGGAGGAAGCAGAAGTTCGACGGGGGAACTCATTTCTCTCGGCCGTAGGGCCCCTCGTCGCCGCCTCGGGCTACCCAGGTCTCAGTATTGCATCGGAACTACCGCAATCGCCCGATGATACAGCGGGAAAGTGATTTGACGACCACGGATGTGCCGCCTTGAATCTGCGCGACAATCTGAGTGCCGTCCTGAGAACGGACACGAGTGTGCCCCGTGGGATGGTTCGGATCCAATCGATCGCTTGGACGGGATTCTCAGTCCTTCAAGAAAGCTTCAAATACGGTCCAACCTACGGTGAGACAAGTGTGCCGGTGGGCGGAACATGGAGGGAACACGTTTGAACAAATGCAAACATCAAACGGTCGACTCGGGAACGGCACCCGGTGTACTCGGGACAGGCGTGAATATCTCCAGGATAAACACAAGAATCTCTGTGTGTTTTGGGAAGATACAAGGGATGGAACCGTCGAAATACCAGAGTCGTTATTATGAGCCCGAACTGAAACAAACGAAAGCTTCCATGCGTGCGAAATCGTTCAGCTCGTGAATGCGCGACCAAGCAATTCTTGGTTTCAGCCGAGTCTGCGGCTTGAGAGAATCGCTGGAATATTGGTGTAGGTACACGGAAGCACGAAATCGACAGCGCACAGGAACCCGAATAAGGGCCGACTTCGGTGAGACGATCGGAAGAGGAACGAAAGAAGAGCAGCTTACTCAAACGATAGAAGATGCGCTTTTGTAGTACGTGTGCTCGAATCGAGTGAGCTCTGTATTTAGGAGTCTCGCGGAGCTCTCCCGGAGACATTCTCCCCTCACGAGAGGGCCCGTCTCCCACCGCCGTTGACGCTCGTCTCAGTCTTCCCTGAGTTATTCGCTGGCAATGAGCGCGAGGTCTCACTGGTAATTAATACTAATGTCTCTTATCCACATTCTTGCGAGCGGATCCTTCGCAGCGCGAGCAGAAGAATCCTGATGTCTTGGCGTTCCTTGAGTCGGTCGAGGGGAACAGGTGCTCTGAAAAGTTTCTCTTCCACATCGAGAGCTCTGAAAATATCGTTGAGTACATACGATGATGACTCGCTGCGAAATAATCAGGGCTCCTTTCGCGGAACGACTGACTGGCTAGAGCCGAGTGAACTTCAATCAATGAAGCTCCTTGATTGCGGAAACGAGACCGACGAACCTCCAAGCCGAATGCTTTGATCATACGTAGCCTCATGCCCTCGGAAGACGTGCGATACCAATCAGTCGCTTTTCTCGTAAACAAGAAGGATGAATCACCGAAGCTCCCGAGAAGTTTTTTCTTCTCCGCGCCGAACACAGGAGAGACTTGGTCGAGCTTGGAGTCCGCAAAGGTCGCAGGGGCCTCGGGAGCGTCACGGTGAGCTCAATGCGCGGCTCAGAGAGTCGGTCAAGGGTTGGGCCGGGTGAGGAGCTGTACCTCATCAGCTGATTCATTGCTCCGGTCTACCGGGGCAAAGATTCACAAACAAGCATTGAGTAGCAAATCAGGGCTTAGATTACAATATATATTTATATACAAATCCGTGCGCATCGGGAGAAGGGGAGCGTGGTTGGTTGGTTGGCTGACTGGGGCCAGTAAATCCCGAGGATCAAGCCTCGCATCTTCGTCCTCCTCGCTAGTTCCCGACAGCTCGGAGCATCAGTCTACGCGTGACCTGGCGTGCGGGCGACGGTCCGTCGTTCGAGCCGAGAGCGCAACTCACCGTGAGAACCGCGTCCTCCCTTGTCGAAGGCGCTGCGGGCCAATGATTCGACATCAACGAAGATTGTTGGACAATCTTCTCGGAGGCTCTGATCGGACGACGTCGGCGGTCGCTGTCATCCTTTCTGTCAAAAGTTCACCGACCCCGAGGTGCCTCTCCTTATTGGTGATCCTCCCGCCTATTGACGAGAGACTCAGCATTTTTCTTTCTTATCCGACTCGATAATATGACCGTTTCTCACTGTGCTCATATCGTTTCCGACTACACTGTGATGAAACTCGACGAGATCGCGAGTCTCCGAGCGAGTCGTTGGCGGACACCGTTAAAGCTCCTCGTGCAGACGAGCTTTGGTTGATTTCTGCGATTATTGGGGACAAATAGACCAATGCCCTTCTAGGGACGGCTCGCGGATTCCGACAGGGCATTTTCTGTCATAATGCTTTCATTTGTTTTATATCGAGACCTGGCAGCCCGAGAAATCAGCCAGACAAGAATGTTTCGGGAAAATCGCAACTCCCCCTCCTCCCGCACTTGCGGGAACCGAGACCAGCGGGATAGTGGCTCTTTTGCGGCTCCCCGCAGGCTCCCTCGAAGAAAATGCTCTCTTGCGCCGCATGCTAATGTGGGCAAGAGTAAGCTTCTCAGGAATTTTGATCAAGACCCATTTGGCGATGGAGCGTGCAAAATGCCCCTTTCCATAATATAATCCAATATGCTCCTAAGTGGAGTCGCGGACACGGGCGCTTCGAGATATTGTATGTTTACATATGCATGAAACGGGAAACTAAGGGAAAGAGCTCCAGCTCTGGGCTCAGCAAAAGCCAATTCGAGCTAATAGCTCCACGCGACTGTTTAAATATTAATTTGAGAGGATATTGTGAATCAGGCTTCTGAGCAGAATCACGCCGCCCCGCCCTGATCTCCATGCTGAGATGGATACGGCTAAATTCTCGATGAGAAAGGGAATCGAAGCTGAAAATTTTTTTTTTATCTTTCCAGGGTGACGCAACGAGGCCGAGCTCGATCTACAGCTAAACGAAACGATGAGGCATCCAGCGATCAGCATGCAGCGTCGGTTTGGCTGGTGCGCTCTCATCCTGGGGGCGATGGCATTCGTTGCGCAGGCTCAAGTGCCTCATCCACCGATGATGATCAAACAGCCGGAACACGAACAGCTGTTTCAGGTTGCCCAAAGCCAGGACGAAACCGATAAGCCTTTCGTACTGGAATGCGAGGCGGAAGGAACGCCTGAGCCAGAGTGAGTATATCCTAGGACTCTTGGAGAAGTCTCCCGGATCGACTTGCATACAGTGAGGAAATGAATAGGTGATGAGTTGCTCTCACTTCTCGAGTGATGGACGTCTTGGAAGGCAGCCCCGGCCCCACAATGAGTCCCAGAACTTCGGACGCGGGGTCTCAGAGAGATCAATCCGACTGCTGCACGCTTTTCCTAGGCTCGATCGGCCGAGAATAATAATCGGCATGGCTTCGGAGACGACCGAACAGAAGAAACGTCCTCGGAAGCTCCCCGATCGTAAAAAGCATTTCTATGCTTCCGGGCTTGGTGGTGTTTTTGCCTGACGATGGAAGTGGGGCTGCCGGTGTGATTCATGTAAATCGTCGCCGACCCGCGTAAACAGAGGAACGGGTGTCGCCGCTGATCGACTATAAGATATAAACATCGCCTTTCTCAGCATGAGCATCTCCTCCCGTAGAATAGCACCTGATCGTAGACAAGCCGCCGAAACGGAAGTGCAAGCTACTCGTCCGCCAATCAGGGAGGACGAGGAGCTTGGATCAACGAAATTCGCTTGCTCCGTCCGCCCTCGAGCCAGATTTTTGTCTTCCGCGTAACGGTTCTGATTCTGAAGCTCGACCATCGATTACGGGAAGCTCCAAAGCGCGCGGTCTCGTCCCAGACGTGGACAAAGGGGTCGGGTTGCCCGACGGGAGCGCTCTCTTCTCGGAACCATTGTCCCGATTAAAGGTCCCCGGAGAAAGCAAGAGATCGCATCAGACGTCAAAGTGTGCGCTGCACCATTGGAAAGAACTCTCATTCTCTTCTTTCCTTGCGCATTGTTCGCTGTGAGTTTAATTAAAGGAAATGATTCGCTGAAATCACTGAATCCCTGAGAGGCGAGTGCAGCCACACTCTTGCCGTTTTTCGTGCCCGTCGGGTGACCCATTTCCTCGTTCAGCGCTGGTAGGAATCGCTCAAGCGGCAAATCGAGCCGAATAAGACATCTCAATGGAAATCTCCGACGTGCTTTCGACCCGCGAGAAGATTGTTCTGAATATCCACCCTCGAAATATTGCATTTGTCGACAGCGCTGGGCACCGATTCGCTACGAAGTGACCGGCATGCAAATCTGCGGGGCGGCTCGGGGGGTCTGCCGGTCTGTCTGCTGGACATTCCGTGCCGTTTTTTGAGCTGGGACAAGAACGCTTTCATTCAGAGGGAAACGTTTTGAGGCTCATTTTGATGGTCCACGGACTATGAGTTTCGAGTTTCCTCACCGAGAGGAGACCGCGAGCTGCGAGTCTTCCTCGGAAGTCCTGACAGCTCGGGAGTTCGCGAGCAGCGATGGATACTCGAGGGCTTTCAGGACTCACGCGCATAGTTCTGCCGAAGAAATGGACGACATTTCTCGGTGCGTTCCATCTGTGACAGATGCGACGGGACGTTGTCGCTGGCGCGCTCCCTCTCGAAATAGAACGCGCCCAAGCTCCCGCACACACGTACGAGGAAATATTGTTTCAAAGACACAGACTGCCGAAATAAACTCCACGATCTCTCGAACCTCGTAATTAAGCTTGCTTGTGGATATGGAGGCGTGGGGCTACGACCCGCAATATCGGGTTGGCTTCCGGCTGACGATAAGGGCAATCAAGGTATCCGAGGGACTTGAGGCATCCAGACGCTCCACCTCATCGGGGGAAGATTCATAGACGTCCCAGAAAATTCATGGGGCGTTGCAGCGTGACGTGCACATTTCTGTTCAGAGTCTCATCATCGCCCTGGTCGATCCGTCACACGATCATTCGAAATCGATCCCCCGTGCGTCTGTTCCAAGACAGCATTTCTAAGCAGCCTCCACTTCTTCTCCTCCGCAGGTATGAATGGATCAAGAACGGTCGAGTCTTCGATTACGTTTCGTACGATAAAAGAATCAGCAAACAACCCAAACGAGGCACTTTGATATTCACCAAGCCCGACGACGTCGATGAAGGCTTGTATCAATGCAAGGCTACCAATCAATATGGAACCTCAGTATCAAACGCGGTTTTCCTTAGGAAATCCGAACTCAGCAACTTTGCCGACGACAAAACACAAGAGGTGAGATCATCGTCTACCGAATCTGCTAGGATATGAAAGTAATCTCCTCAGGACCACAGGGTCAATGTTCTCTGCTGCTCGTTAGTTGTTGACTGAAGCCGTGCAAGGTCGGCCGACAGTGCGGTCTTCACTTGTGATTAGGTCTCGCTCATCAAATAAGAAATAATAAATAAGAAAATAATAATGAGAAATAAGGTGTAATGCAACGTCGGAATCGATACGCCTGTTGCCATCATCGGAGATTCCCTTTTCGAGTCTGGATTTTCATCTTCCAGATATTCGTCATGGAAGGAGAGCCGCTATCATTAGACTGCAAGCCACCGCAGGGCTATCCAGCCCCATCAGTCTTCTGGTTGATACAGTCTGGCAATGGAGCGTTGAGATCGTTCAACAGGTACGAAAATCGAAGTCGACGCAAATACCACGTTCACGATTCGATACCGATAAAGGGATTCCTAGAACGAGATCGAAGTTTGCGAATAGACTTCTGAAGCTCAAGCGGAGCGAAAATTCGATACGGCGTAGCTTCGACTGAGAGTTGCGTCGATCTCGAGTCTCAAGGATTTCTTCCTGAACCTGAGATATTCTGGCACCTATAGCCTCCGATTCAAATCTTACCGACTGCTGCTTCCGCCGTTGTGTCCCTCGGGTAGGAGGAATTAGAACATGTGTTTGTTCAAGCCTCCCCAGAACTCGTCAACGAGGAAAGAGGATGAATTGAGAGAGCAACACGCGGAGACTCCCATGTTGCCTTAGGCCATGCGATGGAATGAGGCAACTCCCTCCCCTCTGGAAGCTCATATGATTATTATCGATTAGAACCACGAGAGGTTCCTAATGAGATTTTTTTTCCGAATTTGCAGTTCCAGGATTACTGCAGATCCAGAGGGGAAACTTCACTTTAGCCAGGTGCTTCGCGCTGACTCACTGGCGGACGCTGTTTACACGTGTTCTGCCACATCGCATTTTCGCAGAGAATACAAAATTGGTAATAAGGTTGTGCTTAAGGTTGAACCCAAGAGTTCCACGGGGAAAACCGAAGTACCTCCAGTGCATCAGTACACCTCGGGGCCTCAGCAAGATCCTCTGCGAGGCAAGAGACATGAGCTGCACTGCATTTTCGGCGGAACGTAAGTGACTTCCTCGTTGAGCCGGATCTTCTTAATGGCGAATTCGATTTTTTCCATCATCCCGTCCCCGGTCCACCGACTCTAATCTCTCGATACTGTTCCGCCCCATTGCAGACCGCTCCCCCAAATTCGCTGGACGAAAAAGGGAACCTCGAGCCTTGAAAACAGCAACCGGGTCGAGACTGTAAATTACGGAAAAACTCTGGTAATCAAGAGCCCAGACTTCGAAGACGAAGGTGTCTACGAGTGCACAGCGAGCAACGGGGTTGGCCCACCGAAGTCTCATTCGATGAACGTGAAAATCAAGGCGGCGCCGTACTGGGTGAAAGCCCCAGAGAAAAAAGACGCTGCCGAAGAGGAAACCGTGACCTTCGAGTGTAACGCCACCGGGGTCCCGGAGCCCAAACTGCAGTGGTTTGTCAACGGGATGCCGATCGAGAAGGCTCCTGCCAGCCCTCGGCGGAAACTCCAAGGAAATTTCCTCACCATCGAACGTCTCGAAAAGAAAGACACCGCGGTGTTCCAATGCAACGCTTCGAACCCGCTCGGCTACGCGTTCAAAGATTTCTATCTCAACGTTCTCGCCCTCCCTCCCTCGATCATTGAGGCACCCGAGCAAGTAACGCAAGCTGTTGTGGGTTCGACGGCGATTCTCAAGTGCCGAGTTTTCGGTGCACCAAAGCCAACCGTGAAATGGATCAAGACCAACGCCCACTCGATCACCGGGGGTAGAGAACTCACCGGAGGTCGATACAAGGTTTTGGACTCGGGAGATCTTCAAATAAACGAAGTTCTGGTCACGGACAACGGTGAATACACCTGTCAAGCCAGTAACAAGTTCGGAGACACGAGCGCCTCGGGAACTTTGGACGTGAAAGGTACCGAGTCCTCATCGGGACGACCTGAACATTCCTGAATGCTGAAATTTCCGTCGATGTCCCAGTGAATCACGGACCCAGTTCGAATATAACATTTCTCCTCCGAACTTTCAGGCCGAACTCTGATCACTCAGCCGCCGGAGAACTATGAGGTGGCCGCGGAGAAGAGCGCCGTGTTCCGATGCAACGCTCAGGCGGACCCCACTCTCGACCTGACGATCAATTGGCTCTTCAACGACGAGCTCATCGACTTCGAACGCGATCCTCGTATGATCAAAGCGAGTGACAATTCTCTGACAATCACGCGAACGCTCGAATTGGATTCGGGTCGGTACACATGTGTCGCCAAGACGGAGCTCGATAAGGACACTGCGTCAGCAACCCTCACCGTTCAGGACGTACCGAACTCACCCTCGATCGTAAAAGTCACCTGCGATCAGTACACGGCCCTCGTAGAATGGAAGCCTAACGGTGACCGTCGAGCGCCCATCCTGTCGTACACGATCCAGTACAACACCAGTTTCGCGCCCGACACTTGGGAGGACGCGTTCGCCAATATCCCGGCCCCCGACACCCGCTTCAAGGTATCGATGTCGCCGTGGGCCAACTACACGTTCCGGGTGATCGCCCGAAACAAGATCGGACCGTCCCCGCCATCCGAAACGTCGATGCGATGCACGACGGCCGAATCGATACCTCACAAAAATCCCGACAAAGTCGCCGGGAGGGGTACACAGAAAGACAACCTGGTAATTTCCTGGACTCCGATGCCTCCAATTGAGCACAACGCCCCTGGGTTTTTCTATCGAGTCAAATACAAGCGGAAAGACACTGAAAACACCGCCGACGAATCGTCCTGGATCACCGAAGACATCCAGGACTGGCGGCAGGGCAGCATCGCCAAGTACGGGATGCCGGTCTTCAAACCCTACCGGATAAAGGTCGAAGCCCACAACCGGCGGGGTGCCGCCCACACCCACGCGGTGGAAGTCATCGGGTATTCGGGCGAAGACAGTGAGTTTCCGAGGTCGTTTCGATATTCCGAGACAATTCATGGGTTCCGGATCAATCGACCGGATGTTCTCCGATTTCGATGTCAGATGATGAAACGCGCTTGTCTCACTCAGTCAGTCAATGCAAAGCTCTAACAGAAAGCCACCCCGTCATTTCAGAGCCCAGTGAAGTCCCCCAGGAGTTCAGGGTTGTCGGAGTTCCGGACGGAAAAACCGCCGAACTTCGCTGGCGACCCGTATCGCCAGAATCTGTGAACGGCCATTTCAAAGGCTACAAAATACAGACGTGGACCAACGAGGAAGGAAAAGATAAAATGCGAGAACTGGTCGTTCCCTCAAATCAGACACACGCGGTCGCAAAAATTTTCAAACCGAACACCATGAACTACGTCCAAGTTCGAGTTTTCAACGAGCAGCACGAGAGCGATGAGAGCGAGACGAGAAGTTTCGAAACCCCGGAGGGGACTCCAGGCCCCGTAGCCTCGTTCGACGGTTTCCCCATGGGCTCTAGTGGAATATACCTCATTTGGAGGAAACCTCTCGAACCGAACGGCAGACTCACGGGTTATCATATTAGCTATGAAGAAGTCCGGGGAACGACTCTCGGTGCCGCGGTCGAGAGATCTCCGATCAACGATCCCCTGGAGACGCGAGCTAAGTTGGCAAATCTCCGATCGAACACCAAATACCGAATAACGATCAAGGCTGCCACTTTGAAAGGAAAAGGGGAGCCTTACTTCATAGAAGTAAGCACCGCTGGAGACAGTTTCGCAGGTGAGTCTCGATCGGATGCCCGGAGTGGTCGGCGCTCGATATCAGCATCATCATAACAAGAATCAGAAAAGCAGCGGCATTGACACCGCAGACGTGCCCGACCGGGGTCACGCAACGAACGAAAACGTGACTGACGTGCTTTTTCCCCTGCAGCCAAGCCCGACGTCCCCGATTTTGTCTGGTCTCTGCAGCCCGAACAGGACGGGCTTGCTTCTGTGCGAGTGACGTGGCTCCCTAACACTAATCGACCCGGCTCAGCTTTCCAAGTCGAATATCGTCTAAAAGTACGTGGCTTCCCACAATCAGACTGCGATCATATGAAATCAGTTCGAACAAATTCAGCTCAGGATGAATCATCCGGGACAGCCTCGATCACCTTGAGTGGTCTGATTTTTTTCCGCCGGTGTCAAGGCGACCGGAGCCGTCGTACTTGGTCGTTGACGATGGATAGACGGCGCGACGGAACCAGCGGACGTTTGGAGACATGGGACAATTCCCTGACGGTTGACGCTATTGTGGTCTTGGTTGTTTTAAAAAGACACACGGCCAGATCAATGTCAGTCCGCGATCCGAAACGACGATTCTGCGACCCGCGGCTGGATCCGATTCCCGTACCGCTGATCATCTTCTCGCGAGATCTCTATTTGATTCGTTCATTCCTCGTTTCAGGGAAGTAGCGATCCATGGGAGAAGACTCAGAAAAACTATGAAGACGAAACGCAAATCGTCAAAGGTCTCTACCCAGGGAAGGTGTACGAAATGCGCGTCATCTCCCTAGACGGAGACTATAAAACGTTCTCCAAAATCGAAGAAGTTGTCACCAGTGATGTCGGTAAGTTGTCGAGATCCATCAGGCCGAGACCATTGTTTTAGTTCAGCCCATTTATGCCATTCATCGAGAATTCGAGTGGCAGCTTTGTTTTCGCCTAAATGTCTACGGTCGGCGGACTCGCTGACACTCCGGGCGGCCGAATAGACCGCGCGCTGAATGAATGTAAGTGGTGGCAGTGTCTGAAAACTGTGTCGACTCGACCGACAACGGCAACTATTGGCGAAGTGCATCTTGCCGGCCGACAATCTCCGACTGCTCCGATATACCCTCTCCACTCTGTTCGCATCGTTCCTTGTAGTCCGGAATATGTCATTTATGCACCGTTGTGTCTCCTAGTTCCGATCCGAAGTTCGAATCGCGGATGTTTCGTGTCGTGCTTTCGTGGCTGGACCAACAAGGGAAAAGAGAACGAGTGTCCGCCAACAAACTAGTTACACTGAGAGCTGAATCCACCCGCCGCACCGTTGAGCAAACCAGCAACTGGAGTTCCCAGGAAGGGATTCGAGTTTAACTTTGTGGCGAGGATTAGGATCGTCGTCGCTATTTATAAATTCGCCCACCTGCGAGTTCAGAGCGCGAACAAGGATATGTGCGGCGGCCGTGGTGGTGGTGGCGGTGGAAGAATGAAGTGTGCGTTGTACTTTGCGAATATTTGCTTTGAAATGAGCTGGAGTACGTTGTGTTGACGATTTATGCGACCTATGGACTATCGTGCCTCAACAGGGAATACGTCAAGCAGTTTTCTGTCTGCCCGCCTTCATTCTTCCCTGTCTCTGTCTCTCTGGTTTTCTGCTTGGTGCCTCCAAGCTCGATGAGGAAAATTCGCTGAGCAAAGTTCTTTTCAAAGTCCGAGCTCCCTTTCTGTGGACACATCATCCAAGCAGTCTGTGGACCGTTCAGGCGAACAGAGACGCATTCGGTCAGTCCGATAGCAGCCCGATGGCGACGGCGAACTCCGGACTAGGGGTTCTTGGTTTTGGGCCGTCAGCAGGTGCTCGACGTCCTACGAATGGGGGTAAACTGGGGAATCATATTTTCGGGATTTTCGACTGGGTGATTCGGGATGTGAGCGGATTCCATGCAGCGAGCGTTGTTGTTCTTCGAGAGGATCGACCCGGTTCGCGGGTCCGGTGAAATTCTTTGCGATTCTCCGATTACAAATTAAATCTCTTCTCCATTGCAGCAATCCACCGCGACTCGCAGGACGATGTGGCAAACGCTGCCTGGTTCATCGGGATGATGTGCGCGATTGCGCTGCTCCTCCTGCTTCTGATGATCGTCTGTTTGATCAAAAGAAATCGAGGTGGAAAGTATTCGGTGCACGAAAAGGAGTTGGCGCAAGGCAGGGAAATCGATGGCTACCCTGAAGAGGGCGGCTTCAACGAGTACACCAAACCGTAAGCGAACTCCGCCAAAGCTGGAAATCTAAAGCTTCTAAATCCGCTAGAAATCCGAAAAAGGGCTCTACGATCGACGACAATGTCTTTCTTTAGCTCGATTTCTGAGTCGTTACGACCGTGCGTCACTCCGGTGTGGTTGTTCCGATATTCGACGTCGGAATGTTGGACTGATTCTCCCAAACGAACTCAATTGGCTTCTAATTTACGAGTGTTTTCCTTCTCAGGGCGGGTCCCCGTAGAGCTGGTTCCCGAACGTCGCTGCAGTCAAGCCGTGGAGGTTCCGAGAGCGATTCGCTAGCAGAATACGGAGACGGAGAAGCAGGAGAGTTTGGCGAAGACGGATCCTTCATTGGCCAGTACGGCGTCAAGAAGGGCCGGAAATCCACGAGGGCTCAGATGCCGAGCCACGACCCCAACGCGCCGTCTGCTCTCGCCACCTTCGTCTAAATTGAGGCGGGAGCCGCCGGACGACATCGTTCTCATCCTCATCATCATCATCAGCATCATGGGCATCCTCGTGCCGATCGACGTGCGAGATGGAAAACTTCCCAACAGAGCGTACGGAGGGAGCATGTTAGAGTTATTGGTCGGTGGAAGTGACCACCACTCATCGGTGAGCTTCATCTGCCACAGAGAGCCGTAGGGTCGCGGCGCACTCCATTGCGAACTGCCACAACTGTAAGAGAAGACGACAGACTTAGAACACGTAAGAGCGACGGAATTCTTCGATAGGGCCACAGTCTTGTTACTCCGCGGAGAAGATGAGCCAGATGACGGAGGGCGGGAAACTGTCGATCGACCTTAACATAGACAGAGAGAGAGAGAATTATTCTATATGGCCATGAGCCCCTGTATTAAATTTGTATATTAAACGATGCCCTGTTTAATGACAAAGCCGATTCAGAGGCGGAATGACTTTCCAGCCGCCGAGAATCGCCTTGGTACCAAGCCCGGTTGACAGAGAGAACAGCGTCGAGCTCGCGGTGGGCTCTACGGTTGGAAACAAATCGCGGAAAATCCGTCGGGCGTACCTGAACTTCCTGATTCAATGTTCACTAATTTGGAGATCGTCTCCCATTCGATCGGATGAATCCGTCCCGCGGCTCGGGTTCGTACGCTGAACTCTCTCGATGTCGGCTGTAGTTTTTTTGCAAGTCCTGCAAGGACTGATTGAGTCGAAATCTCTCGATTACGCTAAAAATTGTGGTGAGTGAAACTTCTCGAGGTTGAGCAAACCCATTCCGACGCTTCATTGCCACTCTTGAAGGGTTTATCAATTTAATTTATTCTTATATATTTATTGGAGAGTTACTTCGATTTCCTTCTGTCTTGTCCAAACATTCCAGGAGCGAAGCTCCATATTTTTTGTCTCAAACCGAGTACGGGAATCGACCATTTCTGTCCTTGAGAGAGAAAACTGAGAGCGATGAGCGGTGTGTGCCACCGCGCAGCTCTCTGATTATTTGAACGCGACGCGAAAATAATTTCCCTCATCCACACTGCTGACATATTAACTTGTCTGCATACCCAAGGTACCGAGTGGTTCACGAGCGATTCGCGGACGTTTGCTTAATTTTGCTAGTGGCGCTCGATAATCTGATCGAGCGAAATTCATTTTTGTGTTCCTTTCGTATGTACTAGAGGTGTGTTTGCTAGCTATCGGTTCTACCTAGAAGGATTGAGCAGAGTGAAGAACGCGGAAGCCCCACAGTGGAAAATTTACACTCAAGATCCCGGTCTGAATGCCTAGCACGGAAGCTTGCTTCACTCACTCTAGAAACCTGTCTCCGTGACCAATGCGGCGAAGCCGGCACCAAAATCATCTAGAAGGCACCGTGCTTTCGAGTGCTTGAGTCGAGTTGCTCACGGAGACATACCGTGGTTTGTCCTACTTGGCGACGTGGTTCCGGCCTTGGTCGCTGTTGCCCCTTCTACCGTCGGCCAAGGTGAGTTCAGGATTCTGAATGAGATACTCGCAATTAATTTGGTTTCCCTAGAGCTGCATCCCGAGCAAGGGTTCAGACCTTGAATCATAATTTTTCGTTCTTTCGCAGGGAGCCTCACGGAGCAAAGCAAGTTACCAGCCAAATATGCAGATAATAATGCACGGAGATCGCATGACTCGAGCGAGAGACCGGGGTATTGGCGCGTATCAAACTGATCGCAATGTTATCGCCGCCAATGCCATTCTGGGGACGTCAGGACGGGCTCTTCGAGACGGTTGCGAAGGTCTGACGGCACGGTAGAGGTGTGCTTCGCATCCACCACACTGATCCCTCCCGCCCTATCACTTATCCTTCCGACATTCCACGCCCCCATCTACCCACCCTAACCTATTTCCTCCGAATCTCTTCACGAATCTGCGCAAAAATCCTATATCAGTCATCCGGAGATTAATCGGAAATGAGTCCACTGCCCACTGAATCCATTTCTTAGTGCGATGCGAAGGCATCCATTGATCCACCCCAAAACGCTAATCGAACTGCCTTACGCCTAGTTTGAGTATTCTCTTCCCAAGCCCCATAGACTCGAAGCGACGACGGCCGCCGAGACCACGCCTCCAGGAAAACGAACCATGAGTGTAAATATCTAGACGAATGAGACGACAAGCGGGCTCGAGTGCGCCAACCGTCGTCCGATGATGATTGATCGAATGATTGATTGATTGACCGACCGACTGATAAGACCATTTCATTACCATTATTATCACTATTGACTATGTATTCAAAGGAGAACCAGAAAATAAATGTGAAATTTATTTAACAATTCTCTCCGAGTAATGATTTCCCGTCGAACGAGTCGACAGAAGTAGAGACAGAGCCTGACACAGTTCCGAACATGATTCATGACGGGGTTGAGCATGCAATGTTCCTCGCGAAGTGGCGGAACTCCCGCTCATTCATTCGTTCTATTCTCTGGCCTTTGTCCATGGATATTCCCCCGTCAGAGGACAGGGAATCGCAATGGCTATATACGGAAGCTAGAGATATTTTCCGGAATCCGAAACGTGATGCCGAAAGAAGCTGCGGCTTTGATCTCAATTTTAATTATTTGGCGCTTCGGTGCGAAGATTCGACTAAATATCCGAACGGATCCTCTCCTATCAAATCTGTAAGCGGGATATGCCGTACTGACATGCATATAAGGGAAGCGCACAACCTGCGGAAACGACCGGAATCGATCCCGTCCGACGAAGAAGGTAGACGTAGATCGTCGAGAACCATCCACCTGGAGAGGGCATTTCGCTTTCCGAGGGAAGCAATAGAAATCCCGCGTAAGGGACGTTTTCTCTTCTCCGTCCAACCACAATTATCTCGAACAGCTACCGGGAGCGACAGAAGAATTACGGTACGCCTATCGATTCGCGGGGGAAGTCCGGAGAGAAGCGTAACTGTCTCAAACCCTGCTAGATAGACACGCCGAGCGGTATCGGATGTTTCTTTTGATTGGAACTCTCCGTAGAGTTCTCCGGCCCTCCCCGGCAAGCTCTTCGTCCTCGGGAAATCGAAGTCGAAGTTGCAAGCTCTTCGTCCTCGGGAAATCGAAGTTGAAGTTGCAAGCTTTAGCGTACCTCGACCGAATTCGTGAATGCTCCATCGAGTGTCCGCCCTGTTGGAGTGTTTTTTCGCAGGAAGGCGGTCTCCACCCTTAGATCAAAATACTCCTTGATTATCTCGAGATGGTTTCTGACTTCTTCAAAACAAACGGAAGGAAAAGGCTGTGACAAGTAAGAACCATCGCGGCGGCACAGAGCCAAATATTCTCGAGGGTCTCTCGCGAGGCTTCGGTTTCTCGCGATGCCTGCTTGTAGACACCGATTGATAACATTGAGGTGGTGTCCCGTCTGGTATCAAAAACAGTAGACCCGCTGTCTAATGATTCGTACGATCCCCGAGAATTTTCTTCAGTCGGAATAGTATCTATCGCGGTGTCTGAATGGTAGCCTCCTACTGATACTATCGTTTCCGGCGGTTCTTCCTTTGTGAATCGTCTGTAAGTAACTGTTCGAGAAGCCCTTGAGGAAAGCTTTGTGCTTAGCGACAGGATTTCCGAGGGAGTCCTAATTCATTCGAGCGGAATGATTTTTTATGTTTTGTGACGGTTAAATTTTATTGTGATAGCGCGGTCATCCTCCGTCACCATGATGTCACGACGCTGGGTCTCCTCTTCGAAGATACACCGGGAGCGAGCAGAGTAATCTTCGCATCTTCCGTCGTGTAATACGACCGCTTTGATAGAACGTTTCGAGATTAGCCTGGATTGACACCGTCGTCACGCGCAGGTGAATCCGCAAAATTAGCATGCACCCGAGATCAAGACTAGAAACACATCGAGTCCTGGGGTCGGCCGACATTCATCTCTCGGCCAGCCGTATTCAACTCCTACGGGGAGACTCTTGACAATGAGCTCTAATGACAGTTAGCCGGATGCGCAGAACTTTGAAACGTTCTCCGGGTTCGACGATTACGAGAGCTCATGCGCACAGTCTCCGATCGGAGAATCCTCGAATCGAGGGGAGGGGGCTTATTCCGAAGAGTTCGTGGTTTGTTCGCGGAAGCCCAGCACGTAGGCATACTTCTTTCTTTTCTCCATTCCCCGCGCTGAGCTCATTGGTCTTAGATTCAGAAAAAAATCGGGGGCTGGCTCATCCATCCGCTCAGACTCCAGCTTCGGATGGATGAAATGCAGCACGAGCTCGAATCGATCATCCATAGAGGTGAACTATGCCGCGGCCAACTCTCACAAGAACGCCCGAGAAACGCGATCTTTCTCGTTAAGGGCAATCAACGCGAGGTCAGACGAACAGAAGCGTCTCAGCCTTCGGTGACTAGCTAAGGACGGTCGAGCGTAGAATTTATGTTTCATTCTCCAGATACGCGGGTACGGGATCTTGAACGATCTCATTGACTAGCTCTCAATGTGCTCGAATACGAAGCCTGTCGTATCAGGCATTTGAAGTAGCTAAGACAAGGCCGCAGTGCGCTTGCGGAGCTGCGCTTTCTTAGAACATTCGCAACACAATCTCAAGTAGAGATCATCCGGAACGATAGTTCACGGGACGAGCATTCCAAACGGGATTTTTTCGTGGCGCAGAACAGCCCTTGTGTCGCGAAGTGCCCACGAAATTCGATCTCGATATCGTTTTCGAGACCCGGAAGCTCTCAATCGTCTTTAAAGCGGGCCTCAAGTCCAGTTCCTCCGAATGACGACAAAGTTTCATTTCGAGCGCCACTCCGAATAGAATCGATGGAGGCGATTGACCGTTCGAGCGGAGCCATCATCACTTCTATCGTTTCCGTACCCTGCATCGATCTCCTCCCGAGCGGGACACCGATTCGGGAGTCGAAGTTTACCGCAGCTCTCCGCCCAGGCGTTCAAGCCGAAAATGATGAATTCACAACTCGAAACTGTCGCCGAAATCAACGGGGCCTGACACTGGAATTTTATGCAGGTCTCACCTTGGCCTGAAACTTCTGACCTTAAACCCGTCCAGCACACGAAGACGACGCTCCGGGCGGCGGTGGTCACGCAACGAAAAGAACCACTCCTCGATGCCGTCCGCTGCATTAGACTGAAAATTCGCGTACGAGCTCATCTCTTTCATCATGTTCGATGATATTCAACCATTCTCTCGACAGGTCGACAACTATCCCTATCGCCACGGACGCCGCCACCATTGGGGCACTACGGCGACAACACCGGCGTCGGCGTTTTAGTGCTCAAGATCATTCGAAAGGGTTGAGCTCATCGAGAGTGAACATACTTCAGCGTGAGATCGCGGATAACTTTGGAATGTTCCCATCCACTATCGGCTTTTTCATTTTGCCGTCGCACGTGGAGATTGCGCATTTTTTCTGCCCGGAAGACCCTCAACGAGCCACTTGACCGTCCGTCGATACATGGATCCAGCACGATATTTATTTGAATCACACGATGAAGCCTACTGCGTCTCATCGGCAGGAATGGACGATCCCTGCGAATATTCATATCTTGTCTGTGAGAGATTTTCGCGGATGAGTCCTTATCTTCTGCTATTCTCTGGTTAGGACGCTCACGCAAGAGAAGGTCCGTAGACCCGAAGACGGAGAAAGCCACCATCGGTTTCCGTAAAAAGGAGGAAGAACCCAGGCGTCGGACTCGGACTTTCGATCTGCGGTCGCTGCTGAGCTCGTCGAGGCAACGTCAACTTATGCAATGCGAACCGGCATGAGATGTACGGAAAGCTCGAAACAAAAGCCCCTCCGATCTTTCCCGCAGGGTTCCCAGAGCCTCTTGGGAGCGAGCGAATCGGAATGAGGTCACCTCCCGATCGCGGAAGCGAAATATTTCCTGGTCTCCAGATCTATGTGAACGTAAATAACGCTAAAATTCTCGTGACGAATCATCCATCCTGAAAATGAGTCGGGTTTGTTCGATCACCACGGGAATTATTTTTCTCCCCTCCGAAGAGGGGGGCGAAGGGCCGATTTTTCGCTTGACTTCATTCTGGCTTGGAGAAGAACTTCCGACGCCGTTGGATGCTTTCGAGTCGAGGACCCCATCTAGCGAGTGAGCGAGCAGTCGAGATAGGCGTGCTTAAACGCTTCTAGGTCTATCCGGGATCTTGAGAATCTGTCAGATGGAATGAGCTAGAAAAACCGGTCTAATCCGGTGATTGTCGGCGAGATCCTGTATTCATCCGGAGCACTCAATCTAAAAGCAGGAGAAACGCGGGCATCATCACCAGCAGCAGCAACAGCATCAGTTACGATAATCGTCATTGCAAAGTACACATTGGACCTGTTACATGATGCAATCAATCTCCGAATAAATCTTGCTCGATCCTCCCTCTGAAATCTCACTGGGCTGGATTGTCTGTTCCGCACAGACGATACGCGTCTCACATCAAACTGGACCGGCGGGGTAATGTTGTGCGAGTGCATTCGGCCAGGAGATCCACAGACTGCGTGGTGGGATCGCGGATAAACGGTGTCATCTTCTTCTCAATGCTCGGCACCGGCTCCTTATCCACGGGTCAACCTGCGCGGCATCCTGCTGTCCTGCTAGACTGCGCGGCTGCTGACTCGTTCGCTCGCTCGCTTGTTGATTGCTGTCAGCCCGAGTTTCCGTAAGACTGATGCGGCCAGTCCTAGTGGCCGCTTCAATATCAGCGTACTTAGAGATATAACCGACTGGAGAGCTTTTCCCACTCAAAGATACGCTCAGCGGACGCGAGTCCGAATCGTCACACGTATCTGCTTGACTGGTCGAGTCGACCGTCCCGCATGGATATTGCAGACAGCTTGTCGTTTTGATTCGAAGCTGACGGTGTTTCAGCGACATCAGAAAAGGTTTCGGGAAGCCCCTCGATCACGGGAAGGGGCTCCGTCTGGTCGAACGGGAGCGGGTGAAGAAGGGTCATCCACCAGCTTGCATCGAGTGGAAGCGAGCTGATCGATAGAGGAAATTCTTTTCGCAGAAGGGTTGCTCTCGATGCGCACAGAAGCGGGTCGGCTCTTCAGAAATAGCCTTGACCGGTGCCATAACAACTTGAAGATGTGCGCTACGAGACGAAAAATCGAGGGAATCCGAAGGGCTTCCTCCAAAGGCACGTTTTCAGCCGACCCGTTAGAAATGACGGTCCAGTTAGGAAATTCGTCCGGGCTGTCAAACAATCGAATGCGCTCTCTCTCTGTTTCCCAAAGTTCCTTCCAGGAATACTCATACGCTAATTCACGGGAGGCGGCTGAGGAGTTCAGAATTCGTCCCTTCGCGCATTTTCCGAA